AACAAATAGCTATTCCCTATTGAGAAGATAGTGGAAAACNCATGGCGTGCTTGAGCCGAAATCAGGGGAAAGAGATGGCCTTGGGCATTTAGCGGCTCCTGTGTCACAATTAATTTGCGCCCTTACAAAAGCGCGTATTTTTATCATGCATTTGATCGTATCGAAAGGTACCGAGCCGTCCAGAGGAGACAGGCAACGCGTGCATTAGCTAGCAAACCGAACCAAACTACAATAATCGTAGCGGCTCACATCAATGTGTTGGCAAACTAGGAAGACTTTATCAACATAGCTATATACAGAAGGAATTTTTGCTCTTAGTAGACTTCTGGAAATTTGGATCGAGCTGTCAATGAAAAATAATGGGTGGGTAATCTCCTGTGGATTCTGGGATGATCCGTTCGATCTTTTTCTCTACCTGGTATCTCTTTGCAATTTCATCCCAAAATTGTTCTGTTTTTCGCTGCAGAGATTCTGGACGTATTGCATTTCTGTGAACTTCTGTGGAATCTGTATCTTTGTCGCAATTTGTAGAGGCATTCAATTCCATTATGTCACTTGTTTTTGTATTGCCCGTGCAATTATTTAGTGTAGGGCGAGAGAATTGTGTAGTTGTTTGCTGTGCAGGCCCATCTGTGTCGGTGACTGTAACACACTGTGAGCCACTGTTGCTTATAGCTTCTCCTCCATTTGAATCTTGTGACGTATTTTTGCTCATAGCGATTTGTATGGAACTTTTGCTGTGCTGGGTAGACGTTGAAGATCTTCTGGTTTCGACAGCAGGGGGGCCAGGCAGGCCTTCACATTCGAAATCAATACCCTCATGGCCTGTCTCGAGAATGCATAGGAAGCCCTTCAAGAACTTGGTAAATGTTTCGCAACAATTGCGGTCGCGATTCGTGCGCGGAGTAGGCTGGCGAAAAGAAGATGGTAATTGCGTCATTTGGAGCCGAAGTCCGTGTAAGAAGGCAACTGGAACACTAGAAGGCAACCGCCTGGCTTCGTTTGGAGGGTTATTTAAAAGAAAGAGTAGCCCATCTCAGTGGAGCGATACGTGCACGAACAGCATAAAAACGATAGACCCATTAGGACAGCTAAATTTGTACAAGTGAACTCAGGTATAAAGATGCTCCCTTGTATCAACCACAACAGTGGTCTGACCCGCGAGGGTCAGACAAATTTTCTTCCCGATGTGGCGTCTGCCCAAAGGAACGCACGGAAATGACCCATTTTGGCCAAATCACGATGTTGAGCGCTCTTAGCATTATCGCCCAAACGTTTGACTTAGTAGTGGCTGGAGCAATAGCCGATAAATGACGAACGTGGGTGGCGCGAGTGCTACCCCGGTCAGCTTGCGTCGGTTCCATACCGCGCAGCCTCACTGGAGATGTGCACGTTTTGGTGCAAGTGGTCTGGAACGAGATGAGACGTCGAGGTAGACTTCTCGCTTAAGTCTAGTTAGCGAGCGCTATATGCGTGGGATGTGCATGGCCACTAGCGGCATCAGTGGAACGTCGAATGACGGACGGGCCCCTATGCGCCCATTTCGCTCGCCCGCTTCGCTCGCCCTCCTCTTCTGTCGTTTCGCTCGCCCACTCTGCTTGCTTCCTCGCGAAGATGTCCAGTTCAGTTCGCAAAGCATATCCAGTTCGCAAAGCATATCAATATGACACGGCTTGGGATCTGGTGTCAAAAAGGGAAGACTCCCTTAACGAGGGAAAAAGACTTTCAGATAAGAAATTTGGTCGGCTGAAAAGATTTCATGAGACAACTATAGATTCGAAGCCAGCTAGGAAATTACGGCTTTTCCTTGAAGAATTGCCGATGCCCTATAAGCTACTATGTGCGATTGTCTTCGCTCAAGACAGCATATATAAAACGCCTGATTCAGTACTACAGGCTCTAATCACAAAGACAAACGCCCGACCATCCAAATTACGTCATACAGGTCTCCAAATCCTCTGTTATTCGCAAATAACCATGAAGCATGGCCGAGACTCTTCCGAAACTTGGGAGCAGATTGTCTCTCCCACCTATCCCAAAGTAAAGGATGTGGAAAGCGTGTTTTGTCCTGAGATGGCCAAAAAAATCAAAACATGCCAGGTGAAAGGAGTTGAATGCAAAAAACTAGTGCTGCGATTTCCCAAATCTACCAACCACCTAGAGACGGCCAAGGCCTTTCCTGCTTTTGTAGATCTGGAAATTTGCGAAAAGTACATGGGAGAGCTTGTAATGAGGCTCTTTGGTGTGGATGTCAATCGGATATCAGACACGGAGCTAGGCTTTCAGATGCGACATGAAAGCGGGATAATGCAAAATACATCTTGCTTAAGTCTGGTAGAGGCTCTACGTGGTAGAACCCTCGAGGTCTTTGGGAAAGAAATACACTCAGCTATCGCAGAATGTGAGAATTACAAAGACGAGGCTAAAAATAAAATAAACACAACGACATGTGTGAGAGCGTTCTGGGTGGAAGGTGAAGCACGGATAAGACTGGAGATGGAGGCCATAGCTGGCGTTGCCATATCAAACAAGCTTCTTTGGAGTAAACAATAACAACATTATGGTTTTAACGTTACTTTGTATTTCCCACCTGCAATATACAATTTTTCACCTTCAGAAAGATCTAATGCATCAAACACCAACTTCAAGTTTCCTAGAATAGGTGTAATTTTAGCTAAATATATACAAATCTCTTATACAATATCGTTTGCGACTACTCTTAAA